ATATATAATATATATATATTTTTGGTAAGGATCCATCTTTGCTTATAAAATATTATATTTATTGGTTAATAACTGTAAAGAGAACTTTGAGATAAAAACGTGGCTTTTTTTGTTTCTCAGCTGCAGCAGGACCTGCATGTTTGCTACAGCCCGTGCCGGGGAGCCCGCTGGTGCAGAGAATTCAGCGGAGAGCAGAAGAGCTCAGGCTTTCTGTGACTCACAGTTTGGCTACAGCTTTTTAGCTTCCTTAGAGGTTTTTCAGGGGGTGGGGAAGGTAAATCAGTCAAGGAATGGTGGAAGAAACCAGAGGCAGAAATCCGACACCTCCGAGTCTATCCTGAGGCCAGGCAGATTTTACTTAGGAAGTTGGGGAAAATATGTAAAATGCATGGTGATTATTAGGTGGTGTTTGAACAGATACTAGAGGGCAAAGAGAAACACTAATTTAACACAGCTTCCCCCCCCCCTTTCTTTTTTTCCCCCCCTCTCCTCTTTTCTTTTTCTCCCCAGACTCTTCTCCAGTGCAAACTATGGAGTTAACGTTCTGGCAGGAAGAGGAGACAGAACAACTTCAGTTAGAGCTTAATTGAAAAAACAAAGAAACTGCTTTATATCGACCAAAGCCTTGGAAGGACAACGAAATATGAAGGCAATGAGAACCATATATTATAATTCCGCTGGAATAAATGGGCTAAAGATATTCACAACGGCAAAATACAACTTTCCATCAGAGTACGTATCAGATTTTTATTTGGACCTCATTTATTACTTGACATTACTGCTTTGTCAATAAAAACGATACTTAATTTTCACCTATCTTCCCCCAGCTCTTTAGAAAGCTACAAACTCCTGAAGCAGGTGGGGAAGCCAGGTCTCCCAGGGCCAGCTTTGTAATCGGAGACCCGAGCATTCCTTGGCTTTAGACAGATCCATCGCACCCCGAGAACAGCTGGTACAGGCAACATGCATGTGCGGGCACATCTCACAGCCTGGACCGGGAGACGGGGAAGATCCTTCATGGAAGAGGGAAATCTGTAACATTTACATCGTTCGCCCCAGTAGTGGCTGCCGCTCGTTCAAATCTAAGTGACTTTGAACCGTTTTCTGTTCTACTTGTGAAACCACGGATGCAAAGGCACCGCTCGCATTTTTGCTCACAGCCGTCACTGCTGCGGCAGCTTGCAGCCCCAGGCGCAGGGACGGGGCAGATCTCTGCGTACAGAGGCGCGGAGAATATGCGGAGCCGAAGAACCTGCAATGAACCAGTCTGTGCCAAAATTAGCAAAGATGAAGAAAAACGCTAAGAACACCTTTCCCTTTCAGCTGCACAGCAGGAA